TTATTATTATTATTATTATTATTATTATTATTATTATTATTATTATTTACAATTACAAGTTGCTGTAATTCATTAGGTTACAAAATATCCCTATGTAATCTCTTAAGTTATATGGGAATGCTTACATTGCATTTTAAGGAACTTATACCTCTAGGATGAATGAAGCACCTCTGCTTGGAAGATTAAAACAGAAATGTTTTTGGAAAATTCACCAGGGGCTTTCCAGACTGCACACATTTGCATACAAACAGCCATTCCACCACCTGCAAACCTTTGCACAGTTCTATTAGGTTTATTTTCAAGAAATTAATTAAAATAAAAGTTTGGAATAGAAGAAATGATCAAATTGCATACCCAAGAAAGGGAATGTCAGGTTTATAGTATTTCATTTTTTGTATACCACAACTGCTGAGCTGAAGAAACATGTAAGTATTAATGCAAGGTGGATTTCTACATTTTAATCTACAAAGAAGTATGTATGTTGCAATTCTGCATGTGATAACTGAAAAGTATATTCAATAGACATGTATGTTCAATAGAATGTGTTTAATAAACTCATAATTTAAGCAACTATATATGCATCTGAAAATAAGCTCATACGTACATTTACATATGTTTAAATCTATAAATGCTACCGGATGGATTGTCTGATATAAAATTTGCATAGCCATCACAATGAGGATGGATCAAACAAATTTCCAAAACATACTTTTTTCTTTCCCCAAATCCCCATTTTACTGTATGCTCATATTCTTCTTACATTCCTCAGTCATTGATTTGCCATACTGTGCATCTGTTTGCAGTGTTAAAGGAAAAATAACAACATCATGAAAAGTATTATTTTAAAAAAACATAATAATAAATTCATAAGTTCACTTTGCTTGTGGTTGTAATTTGTGGATTTGCACTGTCCATCATTAAAGAAAGTCTATGTTATTGTCATTGTGCTTTTATTGTTAAAGGTGTTACATTACTCTTACTCAATCTCTACACCTAACCATGAGTGGGGCTCCTGCAGGTCCTGCTGGGACAGGCAAAACAGAAACCACAAAGGATCTTGGACATGCACTTGGAATGATGGTGTATGTTTTCAACTGTTCTGAACAGATGGATTACAAGGTGCTTTGGTGCTTATTTTCAACCATTTATCTTCAAAGAAATATGACAAGGATGGTTTTCTCCCTTTTTTGGGGTGGTGGTGGTCAGGATGATCCATTATTAAAGGAGATTGAATTATACAGTACCAAAGTAGAGAGACATTATTTCAAAGGAACCTTTTCATTAGTGGATGGATTCTACTACTTGGGTGATAGTAGATAGAAACATTGAAGCACAGAAAACTGATGGCAGAAAACAACTTAGTGGTCTGCCCTTTGAGCGTTTTTTTTAAAAAAAAAATTGAATTTTTGTCAGATGATGGATATATGTTTATTATTCCAAGCACGTTTAAAATCAGTTACTGATGACTGAGCCACTACTGGAAGTTGTTTCCAAGCTTTCATTATTCTTTCTGTGATATTTAACTAGATTTTATTTGACATTTTTTATGCTTATACATAATGTATTTTTAAAATGGAATAAATGAAGTATTGCTTAGTATTCCTCAAAGTAATCAATTCAATTATACATTTTTAAGAATATAAAATATCATTACTGGGATGAGACTAGACTTTAGAATGCTTTCTTGAAATTTGTCCAAGTTGCAAACTTTGTACTGTAGTTTATTTCATTGAACTCAGTGACACTTTCTGATACCAGTATTTATATTTATTTATTAAGCAAATTTATATTTGCAAATACATCAGTCCCTATATCTAGTAGCTATATGGTATCTTGAGCTTAGTAGACCAAGAAACTCTTAATTTAATGAATTCATGAATGAGTACAATAATGCAAATGTTTGTTCCTATTGTTTATAGGAAACTTTTTAAAAAATTGTTTCTCATATAGTCTATAGGAAATATCTATAAAGGTTTGGTTCAAACAGGCGCTTGGGGGTGCTTTGATGAATTCAACCGAATTTCAGTAGAAGTTCTTTCAGTGGTGGCAGTGCAAGTAAAAACTATCCATGATGCCATCAGACATAACAAAAAACAGTGAGTATGAGTCCTTTAACATTTTAAGGGATTAAACATATGAAGTTATTAACCAATTGTCTACCTGAATTCAAAATAATTAGACCTTTTATGACATATTAACAGATATTTAAAAAGATCCCCAAAGAGGCTTCTACTGAAAACTAGATAATTGAACAGCTTGAGTGGTATTTAGAAGTAGTCATGTATATTTTCATATCCTAGCTATAGATTTTCCCTGTGTTTTGAGTTCAGTTTGCAAGGAAACTGAAATCAGAGGCAATTACTTCACTTGTAACAAAGTTTGTTGATTTATTTCTTTAATAATGCAGATTCGTTTTCCTTGGAGAAAACATCACATTGAAAGCATCAGTGGGAATATTTATTACTATGAATCCAGGCTATGCTGGCCGAACAGAATTACCTGAAAATCTTAAAGCTCTATTCAGGTAAGTATGAAGGATAAGTCATTTATGCCCTCTAATGTCAGTTATTTTATTTCCAATAGTTAGCAATTAGAGCTTTTTAATATATTGATTTATTTATTTTATTTATTTGATTTGTCAATCGCTTACAAGATACAGGTATAAGAATAAACATAGTTTTGAATACATGAGATGGATACTTATAAGAAAAATAGAAAGAAACAATAGGACAGGGACGGTAGGCACGATTGATGCACTTATGCACGCCCCCTACAGACCTCTTAGGAAGCGGGTAAGGTTAATAATAGACAGTCTAAGGTTAAAGTTTTTGGGATTTGGGGAAGAAACCACAGAGTCAGGTAGAATATTCCAAACATTGACCACTCTGTTGCTGAAGTCGTATTTTCTGCAATCAAGTTTGGTGCAGTTAACCTTGAGTTTGTATCTATTGTGTGCTCTTGTATTGTTACGATTGAAGCTGAAGTATTCATTTGCAGGTAGGACATTGCAGTGTATGATTTTATATACTATATTTAGATTGGAATGAAGGCGGCATAGTTCTAGGTTTTCTAGGTCTAGAGTTTCAAGTCTGGTGGCATAAGGTATTCTGCAATAAGTAGAGGAGCGGAGAACTCTTCTTGTGAAATATTTCTGGACTTTCTCATTTGTGTTAATATCAGATGCATGTTATAGTTCCAGATTCATGAGCTGTATTCAAGTATAGGTCTAGCAAACGTTTTGTATGCTCTAATTAGAGCTCTTCAAAGTTGCAGATTTGATACCCAATAGAAATATGGGAGATGAAATATTGTTTTTTATTTTTGCTAAATGCAAAAGGGAATTTTACTATTGGAAATAAAATCATAACAAAGTTAAAAGATAGCTTCACTTACATTTGTTGTAGCACTAAGCCATAATCCCTTATTCATTTCTATTTTAAAAAGTCTCTATCGTGTACTTTAATGAACAGTTTTTTAAAGAATGTTTGATTAAATAAATACTTTAAATATATAAAAGTAGAAATGAACAACATAGTGACATGATAACAATACCTTTCCCACTAAACAATATGAGAAAGGGGATCATTCTCTTTAGCAAAATTTTAGTTTTTTATAAAGCAAAGAGATAGTTTGTAAAGCAAATCTTTTTTAACCTCTATTTTAGAAAAAAGACCACCTTGCAGATTATCCATTAAGTGTCAGCTTCTTATATTTATTTTCAGTAACAGAAGTGATTATATGCAAAGAATTGTAAAAACTAACTTGAGAAACTAACATTTTCAGCTTTGTTTGAAATAGTGATACTAGAATATGCTAATAATCAACAAGCAGCCATTATTGCCCATACATTGAAAGAAAATGTTTGTTAATATATAATTATTAATTTCAGCTCAGGCAACTACACTTGTAAATTCACTGCCTTGAATTAGGATTATCTATCTATCTATCTATCTATCTATCTATCTATCTATCTATCTATCTATCTATCTACCTATCTATCTCTCCATCCATCCATCCATCCATCTATCATCTGTCTGTCTGTCTGTCTGTCTATCTAATTTAAATGCTGCCCATCTCAGAGAAGGTGACTCTGGGCAGCAGACAACAGTACCAAAAAACAACAAATATAAAACAACCATTACCTAAAACCTGTATATAATAATTGTTTAAAGTATAAAAAAACTATAAAAGCAGAGCTTAATAAGAAAAGATAATAACAGGCAGAGGGATATTAAAAACAGTGAAGCTTTATCACAAGTTCAACCATTCTTGTTCTTCTACAGTTCTGCTACAAAATCAGGTCTTGAAAGATATTCGAAAGTTCAGGAATGATGAGGGGCTAATCTCATTTCTGGGGGAAAGGCTGCACTGGCTTTCTCCCAGAGATGAGAACAGGCATGTTATTGATGGGGGTTCAATGCAAACCCCCATCCATAACATGCCCATTCTACTGGATCCAGTAAGACAGGCAGGTGAAGAAGTTACTTTTCTTGTTCTCATTATGTTCATATTATAGTCTCTGATTTTAGTTTAATGTATTTTTTGTTTTTGTTTTTAGACCCTGTGCAATGGTGGTCCCTGACATTGAACTAATCTGTGAAATAATGCTGGTTGCTGAAGGGTTTATTGATGCACGGTTCTTAGCCAGAAAGTTTGTTACCCTGTATACTCTTTGTAAAGAGCTTGTCTCCAAGCAGGTAAGTAAGATCTTTTTGACCTTGTGCCTCAACAAACCTAATTAATATTTTTTAAAGCAAATAATGTTTTATCTTTGTATATCCAACTTGCTGCATTAATAAGTCAAGAGAGTCTTATAAAGCTATCAAAATACTTCTGGTTAAAACTATTTGGATTTGTTCTTTAAATGTCAATTTTTTTTCAATGGCATAGCATGAAGAAAGTGACCACAGAGAGGTTTTTCCTCTTACTGTCATATTCAATATTAGAACCCAAGGTTAACCAATGTTAATTGTAGGTTAATTAAGGGAAAATATTTCTTCACAACTCTACTTGATATCTTCTGAACTTCACCATCACAAAATATAATTATGACAATCAATTTCCTAGAGCATTCATGTCCTTCTAAACTTCTATATTTGGTTGTCCAAATGGGATATTATATTAAATAAGCTGTTGGTGTGGCACAGTATGGCTCCTCCTTTTTTCTTTTTCTTTTATTTATTTTTTCCTGATTCTTGAAGACATGTCACTGCAGTTTTCTTGAAAAGGTTTTTCAACAGTGGTTTGTCATTGCCTTCTTCCTAAGAGAGTGTGACTAGCCCAAGGTCATCCAGCTGGCTTTAAGCCCAAGGCAGGACTAGAACTCACTATCTCCTGTTTTTTAGCCTGATGCCTTAATCAAACTACCCTCATGTCTCCTCTATACTTACAAAGGATTTAGGAAACAATTCACATTGTTTTCTAAATTAATGTTTTATTTGTTAGCTAACAATAAAATGTGAATTTAGAAAACAATGTGAATGTGCAGTATCAAAAGTAGAGTGTTTAGTCCAACGTTAATGTTCTTTCATGCATTTTTTTTTGTACATGTACTTTTTGTTGTATATACACATTTTTATTGTACCTGTCTCCTTCCCTCTTTTCTATGTGTAGAAATGTGGTGTGCATTCATTTGATTTTTTGGAATGGAAAATAATTAGCTTCCTAAAAATTTTATTATATCTTATTGAAAATTAAACTGAACAGAGTAGGGAAGTATTATCTTATAAGTCAGATGCTACTAGAGCTTCTATATTTATCACTATAACTATTTTAAAATATGTTTTAATAACATTTTTTAATTTTGAATATAATAATTCCACCTTCATTTGAACAGTGTGTTGTCTGGGTACAAATATCTTTGTTGAACAATAATCAAAATTTGCAACATCATTCATTACATTGATATTCTACAATATTAAAATAGTAATATTCAATATATTAATTCCACAATATTAAAATAGTAATATTCAACATACTAGTCATAATATTTACTTATCTCTTTTAACAGATCTTCTTTATTTTTGTTTCTCTGTTTCTAACTCCCATTTTTGTTATTTAACTATTGATAAAATAGAGCCCATATCAGATAATATTCAGTTTGCTCTTTCTCCTTAATTGCTAACATTAATCTATTCATTTGTGCACATTCTAATAGTTTCCTAATCACATTCTCATCTGTAGGTATCTCTACACTCTGCCAACTTTGTGCAAATACAATTCTAGCAGCAGTTAATATATGAATCACTAAATATGCATTTTCCTTACTGCTACCAGATTATCTATATTTATCACTATAACTATTTTATATTTATCACTATAACTATTTTATATATTTTATTATACCTGATTATTTTATTGATTAAACTGAATCAGTTTAGATCTGAATAACTAAATATTTTATTTCAAAATTTTATCCTATCATAGACCACTGGTATAGAAATGTATGCTTTCAAAAAAGACTAATATAACTTATTTTCTAGTTTTTAAAAATATATTATGAACAAGTTAGTAGATTTGGAAAATGATTTTTTAACATTTCCTGAATATATCTCATCATAGGATCATTATGATTGGGGTCTTCGGGCTATTAAATCTGTCTTGGTAGTTGCTGGGTCTCTGAAGCGAGGAGATAAGACTAGACCTGAAGACCAGGTATGCAACATGATGCAAAGATATACTTCATAAAACTACTTCCCAAAATCCAAGCATGTTGGCACTGAAGTTTGCAAATTCCCACACAGGCGTTTCGCTATGGCTATCCTGACAGGGAATTATTTTCCTACACATAAGAGACAACACCAGATTAGCCTTTCAGTTTGTCTTTGATAATAACATCCGTGGTGCCCAAAAGATAACATGGTAAAATCCAGTCTAGTCCAATTCTGTATTTGTTACATCTAATAGACAGAATCTCACTAGACTAAAGTTATAACCTACTCCCTAATAGATGCACCTCTAGAGTGTGGCTACCCTGAGCATTTTTCTCCCTCCCCCATATTGTATTTAGCACCTCACTGGAATATGCTGCCTCCTCCTTAGGAAGTTGCAGTGTAACTGCTGAGATTCTTACACATGCATACACATACTTCTTCTTACAACAGATTGAATCACAATTTCCCTTTAATTGGATTTTAAACAGCCTTTTTCTTCAAAGTATATTTGACCATGAAATTGATCAGAAGCTTTCTAAGTACAATAATGTTTACTGCCTTTTCCAGATACTTATGCGAGCCTTGAGGGACTTCAATTTGCCTAGGATAGTGACAGATGATATCCCCATTTTCATGGGCTTAATTAGTGACCTCTTTCCAGCTCTGGATGTTCCAAGGAAAAGGGACTTGCAATTTGAACAGATGGTTAAACAATCTACCCTGGAGCTTCACTTACAGCCTGAGGAGACCTTCATTCTGAAAGTAAAAAAAAAAAAATCCATTGCTTTTAATTACAGTCTGTAAAAAAATTAAATCACAATAATTGCAGACATGTTATGCTGAGTATGAAGTTATCCTTACTGACCTTAATGCATTCTCATAGTATCCTTAAAATGTTAGTCTTTCACTAGCAGTACTGTATGTTAGTAATTCAGTGTTAATTATAGTATAAGGATATTACCATAAAATGTCTCACATCCACCAATTTGCCATAGAAATGCAATTCCTGCCCCTATTCTGTTTGTTTTTAAATAATTTAGTACTGCTGGTACTTAACTACCAGTGTTAACTTTAATACAGTACAAACATGGAAATATTACTTCATTAAGGATTGTCAGTTGTCTGCTTTGTTCTCTTGCTTGAGGAGAAAAAAAGAAAAAAGCAGAATGAATTTCTGATATAGGATCCACATTAAAACTCTTTCCCCAATATATATAATGACAATCAACTTTGCCTGTAGTATGAATAGGTAAGTATCAATAACAAAAGTGAAGCAGCAAAATTATCATCCAATTTAGATCTGGCTTTTGAAAGCCCAATGAGATAGCAACCACATTATACTGTAGAAAGTACCCAAAGTGCAGTAGTTTGGCCACTACTATAATTGACCTAGGATTCATCTTCTTTCCATTAAGTCAGTAAAAACAAACCTACAGGAATCCCAGGAGACTGGTATTGCTAGGTGTGGCTCTCATTTAATCTCACATTTTTATAGCAGCTCTCCAAATTCAAATTTATTTGTTTTGCCTTTAATTTCATTTATTTATTTATCCTATCTAATGAAGTATAATTCTGGCCAGTGTACAAATTTATTAACAATTAAAATCATAAAACATTTTGATGACTTCATTAGCCATTGAAGCTAATTGGTACTGTACTTTATCGAGGGATTTTGGACCATTATTTGTACAAAGCAACATTTTCATTTCCTGAGTACAAAGGAGAATGGTTTACTAAGGGAATGGTTTACTAAAGGAAGAAAAATTAATGTCTTCTTAGTTGATGTGGGAGAAAAACCCCTTAGGCATATTATTATTATTATTATTATTATTATTATTATTATTATTATTATTATTATTATTATTATTATTATTATTA